AATCGGCTGGGGACAAAGCCGCTACGGCACCTTAACAGCACTGCTGCCTGTCCAGCTAAAACCACATCTACAAAAAAAAACAACAGAGCAGGAAGGAAATCTAACCACAGCGCCCCCTGCAGGTTCACTTTTCAAAATCTCGGTCCTGAGTCTAAATACAAAAGAACCTGCACAGAACCATCTCTTATCTGACCTCCTAAGTCTTATTTTCTCCTACATGAAATGTGCCCGGACCTTTCCAAAAGGTCAGTGGGCCTGTCCGTTAGCGTGGGTCTCCATTACACCCCACAACATCTGGACTCCCCGGGCACATGCGGCAGGATCCGGAGTGGCCTTTGATGCCGGGCGGAAATCCGCATTATCCCTGAAGCGGGGCATAGCGCAGCACTCCGAGAACGCCACGTCGCTCTGCGAATCCGACTGCTCTCTTCAAAGCCATAATGGGAATAATTAGGACACAGAAATGAATCAATTTACTGGAGATGAGTTCTTATCCATTTCACAAGAGCACATTTTAGGATAACAAATAAAAACACAAACAAACAAATACACACACCCACACACAAAAGCTCAGAGACGTATTTTTTATAGAGAACGACAAACTATTTTATATTAAAAAAAAAAAACCAAGACGAAAGAGACAAAGCGAGCAGGAGGGACTGAGAATGGCATTGTTTCCTGCGGTGCGTGCTGAGAAAATATCCTTGCAATGCAAGTCCTGCTGTGAATAATTTAACATGAAGATATCCCAGAGTCACCATCTGCTATGAGCAGAGTGCCATTCCATAGGAGGAGCACCAGGGGGAGGGTGGGGGCAATTTCAGAGATAACCATGGAGGTTCCTGATTGGAGGGGTAACGCTGTGTACATACCGGACACCTCTGAACTACACTTGAACAATCAGTGCTTAGAATCTCCTCGCCATAAGGACCTTTAAGATGAGATGTTATCAATGAAAGTCAGCAAAATAACTTTTTATATACAGTGGTACCTCAGAACTCGAACTTAATCCGTTCAGAACTCCGGATCGAATCCTAAAAAG